ATGGGAAGTGTGGCACAGCCAAGCCAGCCCTGCTGAAAGCAGGAAGAAAACCGGGAACCGGCCTTCCCCCTGTCACAGCTGGTGGGTCTCCTCCTGCTCATCCTAGAGCCAGCCACACAGCCATGTCCCTTCCTGCCATGGGGTGAGTCTGGCATCCCCAGCATCCCCATCCCAGGCTGACCGCACTCCTGGTGGGCAGCACCAGGTATCCCTGGCACTGCAGGTCATCCTTATTGTTTCATACTCCAGCATCTCTCAGCCCTTACCACCATGTAGCTATCCCTGTCTCCAACCTTCTCCCTCTCTGTGGACTTCAGCCCCTCCACAGCATCTCTGAGTCTACTCCTAGGGTCTTGGCTGTGCTCAGCCCCAGGTTTGGGGGTGACCTATTGATGCTTTCCCGCTGGGGACAGCCTTGTCAACCTGCTCCTGCTACTGTCACTCCAGGTGATATTTGGGGTAATGTGGTGCCTTGTGAGCAAACCAGAGCCATCTGCATGGTAAAAGAGGGTGCGTGGGCACATGTACCACTGAGGTGGACTGATGGGGTCCCCTGGAGCTGGACCCTCCTCAGACTCCTCTGTGCTTGGTCGGTGACTGCTCACCTGGGGACACAGGGGTGACCACAGGACTCCAGGGAGGCGAGGCTAGGCAGAGGTTGCTCTGGTGAGAATGGACTGGGGTGCCATGTGCTGGGTAAAGAGGGTGTTGAGAGCCTAGAGCACTCACCTCTGCACCCAGCCCAGGAGGCTGGGGAGAGGTGCTGGGGGGACTTGTCAGCCTCTTTCCTCCTCTCTGCAGTGTTTGTCAGGAGCTGAAACTACTCCGCTGCTCCAGCCTGGCCACAGAGGAGGATTTTCTGCTGGCTTTTAGCTTCTGGCCCAGAGCATGAGCAAATCACTGGGCGAGTCTGGGAGGGTCACCCACGTGAGATGGTCCCCTGAGGGAGCAGGAGGTACCACTGGTGCAGTGCCATGGGTTCACGGTGTAACTGAGTCTACTTAAAAGTGGGGACCTCAGGTGTCCCTGACACTTCTGTTGCCTGAGCTGGTGAAAACCAGGTGATAGGGACAGGGGTAGCATGGGGCACCCATGGCAGGCAGGGCTGGGGTGGCTTCCAGAGCTGGCAGGGAGAGAAGCTGCCTGCTCCAGCCCTTGGCTCTATTGAGTCTGAACAGGGCAGGAGCAGAGACTCTTAAGAGGTTTAAGCCTTAGCTGGCTTCACCCCAGAGATGCTCAGTTGGGGTGGTGCCGGGTCCTGCCTTGCTTTTCCCCATACTCACAGCCCTGAGGGGGCACAGTGGGGGCCAGCATGGGCAATCCCAAGACCATGGGCAGCAGGGGCCAGGCAGAGGGGTACGCCCAAGGATGCTGCAGGCAGCATGTATGGTGTTCCCTCCCTGGGAGCTGGGTAACCTTGTTTGGCAGGAGGAGCTGGGTTATTTATAGCCAGAGAATAGCCAAGCCATACAAGGGAAGGAGGGATGAGGGGCCTGGCTGCCCTTCTTTGGCCAAGAGCATCTCAAGGAACCATTTCAGGTGTCTCTCCCCATCACCAGTCCCAGGGACCAGCTAGCATGACTCAGCAGGCAGCCGGGAGTGATGGTAGCCTTCAGTGGAAGAGCCCCCTGAGCTGCACTCAAGGGGTCCCCTAACCCAAAAAGCCAGAGTCCCTGTTCCAAATAGCATTCCAGAATGGCCAGTATCCCACTCCCAGTGACATGCCAGGCAGTGCCCTCTTTTGGCAGGTGTGGGCCCAGCAGTGCCTGGCTGGGCTGAGCAAATCTGCCTGACAGATGATGCTCTGGAGCTGCTGGGCACTGACAGGGTAGGAGTATGGACTGCGCTGAGTTCAGTGTCTTCCCTTGGTAAGGGCTGGAGCAGCCAGGGGACCTTCAGCCTCCAGGTCTGACCCACTGCCTTCCCCCTGCAGTACGGCATTGTGCTGGATGCTGGGTCCTCCCACACCGCCATGTTCGTCTACAAATGGCCTGCAGACAAGGAGAATGACACCGGGGTGGTCAGCGAGCACGCCATGTGTGACGTGGAGGGTAAGGGCTGGCCCTGGTCGGGGGTTGGTGCAGTGTCTGTTGCATCCCTGTGCAGGGCAGCATGGTGTGAGTGCCCCTGCCATGCCCAGCTGCCTCCCTCTGTATTTACCAGCATAATGACGTGTTCTGAAGGGTTCAGCTCTATTCCTAAAACATCTCCCAACTCCCCCCAAGGCTGGCAGATGTGCATGCTTGTGATTTATATTTTCCTGGCAGGTACTGAACCACCAGGGAACAATCCAGCTCCCCGCCTAGCCCAGTGAGGAACCAGGGTTGGTTTTTCACTCTCCATTTATCAACCTTTCCCAGACTGTCAGCCAGCAGGGGTTTCAGTGTGGGCAGGGAGATGTGGCTGGACCCTGGATTGCTCCATGCCCACAGAAAACTGCCTTTTGGACAGCCTGGAATGGGGAAAGCTGCTCACCAGGCATCTTCTCAGAGCATCATCCCCTCACCAGCAGGGAGCAATGCTGTTATCCCTTCACAGGTCCTGGCATCTCCAGCTACAGCTCGAACCCTCTGGCAGCTGGGACAAGCCTAGAGCACTGCCTGAACCAGGCCCTGAGAGATGTGCCCAAGGAGAAGCACACGGGCACCCCGCTTTACCTGGGTGCCACGGCTGGCATGCGTCTACTCAAGTGAGTGCTCAGGGGGGCCCTGTTGTGCAACTCTGACATGCCAGCTTGCCACACACAGCGGGGATGGAGGTGGTGAAGGATGGCTGAAGTGTTGCCTCTTCACTGGGAAAGCTCTTCACCACCCACCTGCCCCGTGCTGTGTCCCCTGCAGAAGTGGTCCCGCCTTTCAGAGCAGGATATGCTCTGCAGAGCACAGCCAGCACAGTGCTAGTGGGGGCTGGTGGGGGGGCCAGCACCAGGATAACCCACCCAGACTTTTTGGATGCTAGGAGGAAAACCCCTTGCACCCACTGCCAGCCTGATGGGACATAGTGAGAATAATCACCCCTCAAAAAGCACACAAGGGGAGGAGCTGTGCTCCCCTCACTCAGCCCAGGCAGGATGGATTCCATTGTCCCAAGCAGGGAGGAGCACACTTCATTCCTGCTACTTGCCTCCTCCAGCAGAGACAAAGGGAATTAGCTAGTGTTTTTTTGGGACATGCCTATGAGTACCCAAGCAAGTGCTCACCTCTCTCCTGGACCATGCTCTGGCAGTGCTGGCCCTCAAGGGCTGTTAGTATAGGGAAGGCTCTGCAGCACGGTGGCATAGGTCTGTCACTCTGCCCTCTCACTTGGCCCACAGCATTGCGGACCCACAGGCGTCGGACGCTGTCCTCAGAGCTGCAGCAGCCACGCTGAAGATGTACCCCTTTGATTTCCGGGGAGCAAAGATCCTGTCAGGGGAAGAGGAAGGGGTCTTTGGCTGGGTCACTACAAACTATCTCCTGGAGAACTTCATCAAGGTGGGCATATAGTGACATCCAGTGGGATGGCTGTGGTGGCTGGGCAGCTCATCATATGCTTATGCTTGCTCTTGTCCTCCTTGGCTCAGCGTGGATGGCTCGGAGAATGGATCCAGCCACAGAAGAAGACCCTGGGGGCCATGGACTTTGGAGGTGCTTCCACACAGATCACCTTTGAAACCATGGACACAATTGAAAACCCCAGAAATGAGGTGATGCTGAAGCTGTATGGCCAGGCATACAAAGTGTACACGCACAGCTTTCTCTGCTATGGGAGGGACCAGGTCCTCAAGAGACTGCTCTCCAAGTTCCTCCAGGTACAGTGTATGCTTGATGTGGATGCTGGCTGTCACACGACCCCACAGCTGCCCCCTCACCTTGGTCTTTATGCTGTCCCTCAGCCCTGGACCAGCTGCACACCTTTACCAGCCAACTTGTGTTTTACCCCAGCCCTCTCCTGTGTTCCCAGGGCTTTCTCCCACTGTCTCCATTAGATGATGCAGCTCTTGGCTAGAGCCAAGACACCCCAAGCCATTTTGAGATACTTTTGTCAACTGCTCTGTGTCTGGCTGCTGAAGCTCTGGGGGAGCTGTACTATGCACAGCTCATGCACCCCATGTGTCCCTCCTCTGGCAGGTTGAGAGCTACCAAGAAACTGTCTCCCATCCCTGCTGGCCTATGGGTTACAACAAGAGCCTGTTGATGAGCAGCATCTATGACAGTCCCTGCACACAGAAGGAGAGGCCAAGCCTTGCTCTCAACACCACTGTTACCTTGGTCGGCACTGGGAATGGGAACCTCTGTGCTCTGCATGTCAGCAAGCTCTTTGATTTCACCAACTGCTCCTTCTCTCACTGCTCCTTTGATGGTGCTTTCCAGCCAAAGGTTTCAGGAAACTTCATTGTAAGTCGCATAAGAGGAGGGTGCTGACCTGGCTGCTGGTTGGGCAGCTCCCCAGCATCATGTCACAACAAAATCAGACCCCCAGCTCTGCAACAGCAGTAGTTGGTGCCCACCACACTGGCCAGAGTGTCTGCTCATGGTCAGAGAGTTTACTCCTAGTCTGTCTCACAGTTGCACCTTTCCCTCTATCAGGCCTTCTCTGCCTTCTTCTACACGGTGGATTTCATACAGACCGTGATGGGAAGACCCGTGCACCTGCCCAGCGACCTGAAGGATGCTGCAGAGACCATCTGTGCCACCAGCTGGAGTAAGGTGGGCTCCTTGGGCATCATGGGAAGGAGGGGGCTGCTTCATGTGGGGTATCACCTAGGCTTTCAGACAAGCCCTTGAAGGTCACTGGGTTTCCTCACACCAATGGAGTAGGAGGAAGGCAGTTGATGGCTCCTACATGGGACTGGGAGGGGACTAAGATGGTTATGGGTAGCCTTGGCCTCACAGATGTAACCACTCTGAGCTTCAGACACAGACACAAGCCTGGCCACTGCTGGTTTGACCCCTCTTCTCTTTCCCTCTGTGCATGTCATGCAGTTGCTCCTGAAAGCACCAAAACTGGAGAAAAGGCTGCCAGATTACTGCGCTGTCAGCACATTTGTGTATTTGCTCACTACCAAAGGCTACAGCTTCAACAACCACTCCTTCCCCAACATTGCCTTCCAAAAGAAGGTGGGTAGCACCAAAATACATCCCCATCCCATGGAATCTCTTTGGAGTTAGGCCAAAGAACCCTGCAGCAGAGATGATCCCACATGGAAAAAGAGCCAAGCAGAATCCAGGAACATCTCAGTGAACAGGAGCAGAATGGAACTCTCAGTTTTTGGAGGGATCTCCTAGGAGATGGAAACAAATGATCTGAGCTGGCTGCACCTGTGGGCAAGCAGAGGCTCGAGGGGGCTGTGGGCTCCCCACACTCTTCTCCCTTGGGCTGACACTGAAGCTGTCCCAGAAAGTTCTGTAGCACAAGTCTTACGAGGAGCAGCTGAAAGAGCTGGGGCGACTCAGCCTGGAGAAAAGGAAGCTCAAGGGGACCTTCTCACCCTCTACAACACTCTGACAGCAGGTTGTAGCCAGGTGGGGGTTGGTCTCTTTTCACAAGTAACATGTCAAAGGGCAAGGAAATGGCCTCAGATTGTGCCAGGGGAAGTTTCAGTTATATTTAAAGAAAAATTACTTCATGAAAGGTGGGCAGGCATTGGAACAGGCTGCCCACGGACAGGGTAGTTACCATCCCTGGACGGATTTGGAACATGTGCAGATGTGGCACTTGGGGACATGGTTTAGTGGTGGCCTTGGCAGTGCTGGCATTACTAGTTGGACTCCATGATCTTAGTTGTCTTTTCCAACTTCAGTGATTCCATGATTCTATGGTCTCCTGAGGCCCATGCAGCTGGGCTGGCTGGATGGTGACCATGCCATGCTGTTTCCACAGGCAGGAGAAACCTCCATTGGCTGGGCCCTGGGCTACATGCTGAACCTCACTAACATGATCCCGGCAGAGAAGCCCTCCTCCCACAAAAGCATGCTGTACAATTACTGGGTCATCCTCATCCTGCTCTTTGTGGTCACCACCCTGACATCCCTGGTGACTGCCATCTGCCTGCTCCGGCACAGCAAGTCCAGCATAATCTGATGGCAGGGACAGGGTGAGCCATATCTGCAGGACCAGCACCATCCTACCTGCTGGAGGCTCCATGGTCTGAATGCTTGGGATGTGGCAAGCGCTCAATGTCCTCTTCCAAAACCTGACACCATCCCAGAAGGATATCTGTGTCCTTTTGCCCTCCCCTTGCCCTCAAGCTGCAGGAAAGGAAGGACAGAAGAGGATCACTGGCCCTGTGGGAGAAGGGCTTAAATGTTTCCCAGCACTACTCAGGGATGGACTCTGGAGCAGGCTTGGAAATGGGACATTCAGAGCTAAGATACATTTTTGCCACCAGAGCTGAGCTGAACTGGACCAATGAGCCCAAGCAACAACAGGATTAATTTTCATTAATTTTCATGTGTATGTGTATGAATGGGGAATATTACTTACACTAGTCCTTATAGCCAACTTTGCTAGCCTGTCCCTGGAGCCTCCTGGGGAGCTCTGGGCATGACCCAAAGCTCACATTGTCTTCCTGGCTGATGTACAAACCCCACTGACCTTCCTGAAGGCAAGGTCTTTTCCTTGGCCATTGGCCTCAGCTTTGGGTAAGGACTTAGCAACAACCAGATGTGGAAAGATGGCAGCTTCCAGGTCCCCCTTCAACAACCAGACATGATGTCTTCACTATCCCCATGGTTTCTATGCCAGACTTGTCTTTGCCACAGCCAGAGACTCCTGCACACCCCAGTTCCTGCAGCTCTGTGCTGCATGGCCATGCTGGCACAGAGCCAATGAGCTCCCGCACTGTGGAGCTTTGCTCTGCACTGGGATTTGAGCCTAGCATCACCCCACACCAGGCAGCGAGAAGGATGCACCTTCATTGCCAATTGAGTAAGAACAGGGATGTACAAACATGAAGAAGGTTTGGTTTTGTTTGATTTTTTTTAATAATCTTAAATAAACCTTTGTAACCACTGCTATGGCCCAGTGGCTTGTGATCAGCAACAGGCAGTTCAGCCTGGCTGTCCTATGGGACACATCTACAGGTCAGGCTCTGCCCGAACATCTCATTCCTTGCAGCCTGTCCAGTGCTGAGACACCGTCACAGCTCTGTGCACTCTACCAGCCTGGAGATGACCTCAAATAGACCAAGGTGGGCTAAAAACCTCAGTCCAGACCCAGGCCCACCTGGAGGTGGAGGAGCTCCAGTCAACCACAGTCACAAAGCTCGTGCTTCCCCAGTGCTGGAGGTGAAGTCACCTCAAAGCCAGGAGCAGGCAGCTCAAGCGGTCCCTCACTGCCAGTCCCCAGCAAAACAACCTGCCAGCAGCCTCCACTGCCAGGGCCCAGTGCTGGTGCTCAAGGGTGGCAGCAAAGCAGCTCACATTTGCTACTGCAGTCACTGGCAGCTCAGGATATACATCACAGTGCTCAGCAGCTGCATGGGACTGGTCCCAGCCCTCCAATCCTTTGAGAAGCCTCTCCCTGCCCTGCACGTTCCACAGACACTAGAGAGGAGTGGCTGTAGGGAGCTGCAGTTTCTCACCACCCTCTTTGCTCCTGCTGGCAGCACCAACTCTGCTCTAGGTGTTTGCTCACTTCCCATCCACCCTGCTCCAGCTGAACTCCTGGAATGCCATGCTTGACTTAACACACCTGCTCCCCGCAGCACTTGACTTTCAGCTCTTCCACTGTGTCATGGTTTAACACTGGCTGCTCTCCATCTCTCTGCACAGGGCAAACCTGATTCCAGTTCAGAGGATGCTATGAGCCTCCAAGCCCAGCTTCCTCCCCAGGCTCATCTCCTCAGCACAGGGACTCCCTCCTGTGGTGACGTTCAGGGCCTGTCTCTCACACGGAGAAGGCACTTCTGGTTCCTGAAGTTGAAACACTGCTCTAAGAACCTGGGCAGCTCCCAGAATTCAGGCTGGGTTTCTTCTTCTAAGAAACTCAGCTGCAGCTGAATCAGAGCTGGATGTCCACCAAGAGCAGACAATCTACCTAGTCACGACTTGGAGTCTGACATGGAAAAACCCCACATGCTCCACTATGTGCATGGGATTCGAAAAAGTACCATTACCTTGCCAAGTAGTTATGGATCTGGATGAGCAATCTGGGACTAGCCAGTGACAGGTGAACACTGCAGAGAGGGACCCTGGGCACATGGTCACGTCTGTTGCAGGGGAAGGGAACACCCCAGAGGCCACCCAGCTGTGGGACTCAGTTCAGGCCTGTTCAGGTAAGTATGAAAAGCCTTGCTGCTGTTGTGGAAGGGACGTGGGGACTGGCTGGACTCAGAAAACACAGGTGACACAGCAACAGCTCTGCCCTCACAACTTAGCCAAGACCTGTCTGTGCCTGCAGTCTCAGCGCAATACAAGTGCTGACTGTGACTACCATCACCACAGAGGGACCAGAGCTCTCTGCTCAAACATTCACTGCAGAGGTTGCCTCAGACTGACATTCACCACCTGCTCTTCCCTTCACCTCATCCACAACGAGTGCATTCAGCTCTGAACTTTTATTATACCCCCAGTGCAATGTGCAGAGGCCATGGGGCAGGCAGCAATCCCTGAGGTGTCTCCACCGTTCTCTCTCTTGCAGGATCAAGTCCTCTGAGCTTTTCAGAAGAGTCATCAAGCCCACCACCCTCATGGTGGGCAGTGTGATGGGCAGCGTCAGCTTGGGCAGGCAGGAGAGGGTGAAGGACACGGGCATGGCAGGGTATGCTCTACTGGCTACTCCACCACATCACCGTACCTGTTCCTCCTCACCAGTGTTGCAGCGCCATCCCTGTCCTCTGCACTAGTGAGGTTTTCTGCAACAACAAAGTACAAGTTCCCTGGACCTCCAACTACCCTGGTGAGTTTGCCAAGCATGGGCAAAGAACCAGAGCCTTGGGGAAGCATGTAAAGCCTCTTCAAGTTGGCCTAGCTTTAGGAGCTCAAGGTATGTATGGGAGAAAGCAGCAAGCAGCAACAAGAATTGTCCAGCAGCAGCTGTCTTGATGCCCTTCCAATTCCACCCACCCTACTGAGCAGCAAATCCCTCCAAACCTCAGTTGCTCTCTCCATCCCTTACCTTCTCCTTCCTCTTCCAGCAAATGAGCCTTTTGTGTTGGCTTTCACAAATACCCAAAACATGCAGGGCAGAAGGCAGCAGCAAGTGCACCCAACCCACATCATCAGCCCTGCTCAGGAACCCACTGTGCCAAGTGCACAGAGGAACAGGGGAGGCATGAATCCTGGTAAGGAGCTCCACCCACCATGGGTGCTCCTGCTCCACCCCTTGGCTACAGGGTGCCAGTGTGGGACTTAATAATGAGATTTTGGCAATGACACGGCCACCAGCTAAATTACAAGACAGGAACAGCAAAGTAATGATTGCAGCAGGGAAGAACGAGGCACAAGAAGCTCAGGCAAAGCAGTAGGACAATATGACTATACCTGTGGGCTGAGACACCCCACCAGTCACAGCAAGCTCTTGTAGGGACTTGCCCGTCTCCAGATAAATCCAGAAGTTGGAGCATTTCTGTGTCTCAGCTCTGGTTACCACGTAGCTTCCGAGGGACCCTGCAGCTGGGGCGGCCGAGGTGCTCCTGGGAGTGCCAGCAGCACCACGGTGGGGACAGCACCTGCTGCCGCGAACCCTCCTGAGCCCTGGGGACCGGGGCACAGGGAGGTGGCTGGAGCCAGAGACGAGCCTCCACAACAATGGCAAACACCCCTCTGTACCGCTCGGGCTGGGCACTTACCCGCAGCCAACAGCAGGCTCCACTGCGGGCTGTACGGCAGCTTCTGCCGCGCCATCTTCTGCACCACGAAGGCGGCCCCGCTGCCTGCCGAGACCGGGACCAGGGTTACCGGACACGGCCGGGACGTCCCCGCTGCCCCCGGGGAGCGACCAAGGCCAGCCCGGGGAATGCCGGGGTGGCTGGACCGGCCCGTACCTGCCAGGAAGGTGCCGATGCCCTTCATGAAGGCGTGAGACTGGCAGGCCGCGTACTGCTGCAGCGCCTGTGGGGAGGCGTCAGCGCAGGGCCGGAGGCCCACCCAGCCCCCTCATCCCCAGCCCCCTCATCCCCAGCCCACCCGCACTCCCAGGCCCCCCAGCCCATCCCCCGCGGGGCGCACCGGGTGCTTGGCGGCCACATCATCCTCCACCCGCCGCACGCCCAGGTTCACCATGGCGAGGCCGCCGGGCTCGGCCCCGGGCAGGACCCGCCCCTTCCGCCGCGGCCACGGCGGAACGGGCCGGACCGTTTCGTGTGCTCCGAACCGGGACAGGCCAGCTCCTCTGCTACTGCGGACCCGACGGCACCGTCTAGTGAGAGCGGGGCGGGAGAAGGAGCAGGTGGGAGGCGGGCACGGGGCCGGGCGGGGGTCGAGCAGCCCTGGCCTGAGGTGCTTCCTCCCGCAGTGTGACCGACGCGATGAAGGTCTGGGCCAGGGAGCTCGGTGGCTGGTCGGCGCTCGGCTTTGTATGTACCGGCGGGAAACGGGGAGCGGCGGGAGAGCCCAGGGCTGAGACCCGGGGTGCCGGCGGGGCAGGGATGGATCTAAACCCAGGCTAGGCCGTGTTGGACGTGCTCTCCTCCTCCTCTCCCTCTGCAGCGGTGCCCGCCGGAGGAGCTCGGCGCGATGCTCAGGTGGGTGGCACTGCCCTGCGACCTCCCTCGCTGCGGGCACCCTCTCGCCTGGGCTCCCCCCAGCTCGCTCGGAGCCCCCCTCTCTCGCGGTCCCCTCACCCTCGCTCCCCGCAGGGCCGCCCTTGCTCACGGGGCTGCCGCGCTGAGCCTGGGCCCGGGTTCGGCCGCGCTGCGGCTCCCGGAGCAGCCGCAGTGCCCGGCCCTGGCCCTCGCCCCGCTGCCCGCCGCCGAGGCGCGCAGCCGGCTGCATCGAGAGCCTGGAGAGGCGCCTGGAAGGTCGGAGGTGGGTTTAGAAGAGGGGAGGGCTAGCCGCTACTGCCACCTTCACGGGATCGTCATCCCCACTTGAAGTGCCCTGGGTGTCTCAGTTCAGCCGCAGCAGGAGAGGGCTTCACCCCAAGTAGTTTCTTCTCACCGGTCCCAGTACGTAGAAGAGCTGCTGCCCGTCACTTCCCTGTTCGGGCTGACCCATTCTCAAAGCTGGCCAGGGTCTGCACCAGACCTCCACAGGCAGAAGAGACCGTGACTGGGCCCAGAGGATACAGTGGTCTGTCTCCATGGCCAGCACCACACTAGCATCCTGAATGTGGGAGTCACCTTACAGATCTTTGCTGGAGGGGTCTGGAGAGATTTTGGAGCAGCAGCAGTCTGGATGGAAGTGCTGAGAGGAGAATGGGGCTCAGTTTGGCTGTGGAGGGAGCTCGTTAGGGAGGCTTGAAGTGCTGCATGCAGAACTGGGGGCCTTTGTCACGAACTTTGGCTCTAGCTCCTGTCTCAGTAGCAGTGGAGACATTAGCATCTTCCTGCAGCCCTGAGAAGAACACTGCCCAGAGTCAGCAGCTCTTCTTGCCAGGTAGGCACTGCCTGGGGCACCTGCCCTGCTCCTGCAATCTTTTGTCTTCTCCCTCCTGGAGGCTGCTGGTCCTGTATCCATGTGCTCTCCAGGATACTCTGGAGATACCCTTGGTTGTGGCTGCTGGCAGCCACCTGTTGTCCTGGTGCTCTTCCAGGCAGAGCAGGGGCAGGGCTTAGTGCCAGCCTCAGAAGGAGGGCAGGCTTTGCTGTGCTTCCAGACTGGAGGCTGTTGTGGATTCATGGCTCCTTTTGGGAGAGGAGGCCTTGTCTGGCCCTTTCTTGCCCTCTGTGGCTGCTGGTTCTGCCAGGCTGGGCTCCTGGAGGCTCCCCCTGGCCGCAGAGGGACTGGCAGGGCTGCCAGAGCTCCTGGGTAACCTGTAATTTGTGTCCTGCCTGTTCTGACCGAGGCAGACCCCAGTCCTAGGAAGTGTAGGGCTTCTGGCTCAGCTTTGCCAGCCAAAAGGAGGCTACCAGGGGAGTCTCTCATTAATCCTGGTTTCAAAAGGTCAGTGCTGGGGCTGGATGCTGCTCCTGGGCACCCTGCAGGCTCTGCTCCGAAGTTATGTGTCAGCAGGGCTTGGGGCTCGTGACTCTGATGTTTCCTCCATTTCCTTCCAGCAAGAAGGCGCCATCTGGAGTGAATTTTGAGGACTCCTGATGGGTGCTGTCCTGTGCCTTGATGACAGCCCTATGGACCCCTGTGTCTGAACAAGGAAGTGTCCCTATTGTTCCGGACCTGCTGAGCTCCTTGACAACAGAGGCAGCAGTACCTGGCAGCCACCCCTTAGCTTTCCCCTTTGCGGGGAACAGTTGGAGCAGAGGGGACACCAGCATGGTGGGGTTTTCCCCTGCAGCTCTTCCCTGCTGGTAGGGACTAGCTCCTGACTTCACTTACCATGAACTGGTGGAGTTTGGATGGAGCTTTGATGCCGTGGAATGGAAAGATTACCTGTGCTTTGCGTCTTGCCTGTAAAGATGTTTTTAGCCAGCTGGTCTCTGGGTGTGTCTGTCCATTCTGCTGCTCCTGTTCTCGGGAAGCTTTGAGCCTGTTTCAGCTGGACCCAGATGTCTGGGCCTCAGAGAAGTTCCCTTCTCTGCCAGCTTTTTGCAAGTGGGCTGATGGGGTGTGTGGTTAGAACCTGGCCAACCTCTCTGGAGAGCTGGGAGGGTGGATTCTGCACTGCTGGGCACCGGGAGAGGATGAGGATGTCAATACAAAGCCTTATGAGGGAGGAGCTGTTGGGGTGGTCACTCCAGACTCACACTGGTCTTACTTGCAAAGCTTTTATTGATTTCCAGGAACTCTGAAGCTTAGCTTGGGCTTTCCCTGCTTTGCAACCCCCAAGTCTATTGAGAGCTTCCTAATAGTGAGTTTTGGGGGTGCTGACCTGTGCCCATTGCCTATGCTATCCCACTCCAGCTCTGTTCTTAGGTCTCTATGACTGTACCAGGTCCCCTCACCTGGTGCAGGTGTGAGGGTACCCTGTGGTGCCTGCTGCCCAGGTGGGTGGCACAGTGTGCCTGCCTGTGCAAGTGGCTGCAGGGCAGCTTGTTGTCCCCAACTCTGCTCCTGCCCTCAGCTGGGCACAGCTATGGCACCGATGGTGCCTGTGGCTGTGCCCTCTTGCCCTCATCCTCATGCTTGAGGAGTCACAGAGCTTGTCCTGGTTGTGAGGAAGGGTGGGTGGCACAAAAGGGGCTGAGCGTACTGCAGATTGCCGCCAGCACCTGTGTGCCAGTGGAGGGAATTTGGGTACAAAGGGCACAGCTCTCCTGAGCCCCTGCAGGCAAGGGCAGGGTGGGCGCTGACCTCCTGCCTGACTCCAGCCTTGGCCCTGCACCCACCAGGGCACGTGCCCAGCTCACTGCGGTGCCCGGACCACAGAACGATAGGCTTGTATAATCTCTTGGCTGCTGGGGCAGGTGTATTGGAATTCCTTGGTTTCACTGACACTGTTGAGGTACCGCCACACACCCCGCAGGTCCTTGGGGATCCCAAAGTGGCGGTAATGCTGGCACACGACCTGCAGGTACAAGCAGGGGAGACTTGTCTGACACTGTGCCAAGGAGGGCTCTACCACCGTGGCAGGAACCAGTTGGGAAGGGTGGGAGGGAGCCAGAGACATTCATGGACAGCACAGTGGAGGGCTGGCACTCGGGATGCAGAGAGGAGCGGGATCTGTAGGAAGACATGGTGCTGGGCGGGGCTCCTGGGGAAAGGGATGCTGTGGGCCACAGAACTGAGAGACCAACTGGGAAAGGAGCAGGGGCTTGCTGTAGGTACCAAGAGGAGAGTGAGCACATAGGGATGCCAGGGAAAGGAGAAGGGCATGGTGCTGGGATGCCCATGGCTTACCTGAACAATATTGAGCTTCGGCAGCAGGTTGCAGTCAGCCAGCGTGAGGTGGTCTCCATCAAGGAAATGGCGCTGGGAGGCCTGGAGGTGGGGGTCCTGGGCCAGCTCGTGCTCCAGAGGGGTGCTCAGGTAGTCATCCAGCTTCAGCAAGGCCCGCAGCAGGCTCCGCTGCAACGCTGCAGGGAGGGTGGCCAGGTCACAGTACAGCCCTGCTTGCAGGCATAGGGCCCCTGCTCTGCTGTGGCCTCCTGCCAGCCCAGCCCAGGTGTCCAGGCAGCACCTGTCAGCCTCTTCCCACCTGGCTCAGGCTGGCACCTGCCTCGGCCCTCCCACAGAGACCTGGCATAGTCACACTGGCCCGTGTGGAGAGGGCAGTACCTAGACAGACCCGACTGGACTGGGTGGGGGGACTGGGAAAGCTCAGTGTGACCAGGCTAAGCTTTGGGGTGTGGCACCCAAGAGGTTGCATGGGGTGCTCCTCCACCTGCTCCTCACCCTTGTCCTGGGCAGGTACTGGGTTCTTGATGAAAGCAGAGAATTTGTGGAAAATGTCGTTCCCAGCCAGGCTTGACTCCGGGTACTGTGGGACCAGACTGGGGCACCTATGGGGACATGGGCACAGCTGAGGCAGGTACCAGAGGCTGACAGGCTCATGTGCTGTCAGCCCCCTCATCCCTCAGCTTGTCCTGCCCTTCTTTGTGGGGGGCCCTTCCTCCTCTCAAGGCAGCACCAGCCACTGACATGGGGGGGCCCAGCTGGTCCTCCAGGAACTCCTCAATGGTGATGGTGTCGGTCTTGGGCTCGCCGTTATAGAGGAGGACGGGCAGCTGGGCACCTGGTGCGAAGTCCTTCAGCACATCCAGCGCCCTATGGGAGATGGGTACACCACTGATGCCTGGCATGTCCAGGGTTCTGCAAGGCACAGTGTGTGTGTGTGTGTACGTGTGTCCATACTGTGCAAGTGTCTCAAGCAAAGGGAGTTCTGGTGGGCTGGTGCACAAGGTGGTGCCCTCAGGCCCCATCTGCCTCAGTGTGTTCCCAAGGAAACACCTCCCAACCTCCCCCAAGCACCAGTGGTCACCTGGGGAGGTACAAAAAGCTCCATGCATCCCATAGTGCCCACCCTTCACATCCCTTCCCAAAGTGTTGGTGACCTACCAACCCCCCACCCTGCACATGATCCTGGCCCCAGGGCTGGCATCCCTTGGGAGGGGGACACCACTCACCTCTTCACATCCACAGTGGTGAGGGTGAAGGGCACCCCTTTGAGCAGCAGCATCATGAAGAGCCGCTGGCAGAAGGGGCAGTGCCCTATGCTCTCCCCGTCTTCGCTTGCCTGTGGGCACAGAAGGAGAGCTCAGCTGCCCTTTCACCCTGGCATGGCCTCAGTGGGATCTGCCCCAGAGGACACAGAGTGAAGATGCTAAGGCACATGCCCCAGCCCAATCTGGAAAGCTGTGCACCTGTGTGTGGCACCTGCTATGCCAGGCAAGGTGCCAGCTCCTGGCCCCTGCCTGCTCCCTGAGCCTCAGTGCCACACCCCAGAGCAGCCACATAGCACAGCAGGTGCTGGCCACGGCACCCTCTGGGGACAAGGACCTCCTGGCTGCGGCAGCCTCACAGTGCCAGTGGGACAAGGGCTTGAGAGCATTAGTGGCAGCAGGGGTGGCAGGGGACAGTCCAGCAGCAGAGATGTGCCAGAGGAAGGTGACACATATACCGGTGGCCCTGTCAACCCCAGCCACAATCCCAGGTGAGCCCTGTCCTGGCCTGCACAGCCAGGCAGACTGCCCTGGCTAGGTTGTGGCTAGGAAGGGCCTGGCAGGTGCAGGCAGATGCTGTGGTGCTGGCCTGCTAGGCCCTGCTTTCAGGGGTAATCTGGTCCAGCCTCCCCAGGTTTAGCCCCCACAGCCCCTGTGGCTGCAGGGAGGGAAGCAGCAAGCAGCATGCCCTGGAAAAGAGCTCGAGCTGCCCACTGCCTGTACTGCCTGCTGCCCCCTGCCTGTGCCCCACTATGCGTCTGCCCTGCCCCACTGCCTGTTGTCAGCCTCATTGCCTACCCAGCTACCCACTATCTGCCCCCCTGCCTGCCCAGTGCCTCACATCTGGGTACTGCAGTGGGCATGGGCAGCCCAGTCACCCCACCACAGCACTGCCAGGGTTGGTTGCCAGGGCCACCAGTGGCCTGGGGCACTTACCTGAGGACCCCCCCTTACCTTGATAAAGAGCTGGATTTGGGGTTTTTCGGCCATGCTGCGTGGCGGCTGCTGCTGCACTGCTGGCTGCATTCTGAGTGCCCCAGCTGAAACCACCGCCCTTCCCAGCCCACATTCCTCCTCGGGGTGCACCCGTTCCCACCCACGCCTGGCCCCATGGCACAGATGGGACACCCCATCATGGGGCCCTGCAACTATGGTTGCTGCCAACCCCAGGCCAGTAAGTGCAGCTGGTGGCATTGCCAGCTGCTGCCACTCTTGCCTGTACCCCCAGCCACCCAACCCTGCTTGAATGATGACAAGCACTGGGCACAAACCTGTGTTGTGCCCCAGGACTCCCTGCCCCTAGCAGGATCCTGCACCCCCACCCTGGGCACTGCCACTCTCCTCCCCAGCCCAGGCCTTCCCAGGCAGCCAGCCCTGCCATTCCTCTCATGCCCAACTACACAGCCTCAATGGATTTAGTTATTGTTTTTTATTTAAAACGATCATTATTTTCACATTTCATCTTTTTGTTTGGTAGCAATATACAGGCAGCTCCAAGATGTCCCCACCCCCAGGGGCCCCACACCCAGGGCTTAGCATGGCACTGGCGCCATGCCCGCGGCTGGTGGCCAAGGACGTGGAGGGAGAGGCAAGGCTGGAAGCGGGGCCAAACTCAATGAAGTGTTAAGGCAGCAGCCACCCCTGCCCTGGGGTGCTACCTTCTTTGGACTGGTAGCTACCTACCACCTTTGGACTGACTGTAGCACAGCGACTGTGCCCAGGCAGCACTAAGCACATGGCAGGTAGGCCACCATGGCCACCCAGGCTGTATGGGCACTTCCACTGACCCTCAGAAGCCATGCGGATGACAGCACGGTGGCAGGGGAAGACTGGGTGGACGGGGAAGACACTCTGTGACCAGGGTGCAGTAACCTGGAACAAGAGTGTAGTGTGGCAGGTATGGGCCAAGGATAAAGCCCAGAGCACAACAGCACTGCCCACCCTGGGGTGCCCCAGGGTACCACCAAGGTGACAGCTGGGGACTCAGAGATGACACTATCCCCTCTCCCTGATGGCAGAGGGTAAACTTTGAGCTGGCTTGTCCCCTAGCATCCCCTGAGGAACGCAGAGTGTGGCCAGCTCGAGAGCAGGGGCACACTGGTGGGGGCTGCGCCCCTGTGCTCTCCAAATCCATCCCAGATCCAGCCAGTTTCCTATATGCCATTAAAAAAAAAAAAAGTCTGAAAAATCTGAAAATAGAGCTTCTTCCCCCGTTTTCCCCCTATTGAAAATACTGTATATTAGATCACAATCCATAGCAGGTGGTATATCAGCATGATAGGACCAGAGGGCAAGGGGACAGATGAGGTCAGGCCCTGCTCCTGTGCCCAAATGGGGCCAGAGCCAGCCTCTCCCCACCTCCCATAGCAGTCAGCTGAGGTTCCTAATGCTGCTCAGGCCCTTCAGCCAAGCCTGTGCTAGGGAGGCAGAGAGAGCATCAGAGCACACAGGGCAGACAGACCATGGCTGCTCGCCAGGAAGGTGCATAGCCATCCTGAGGTGCTGCCAAAGACTGTGGCACCCAGCAGTGGTGGGGGCGGGGTCAGCATCACAGGCCCACCTCTGGGCACAGCTGCAGCTTGTTGAGAGCTGCAGGCATCAGCCATAGGCCCCGTGGGTGACATAGCAGCAGGACCCTCTGCAAAAAGGAGGGGCACTGCTGACAGAGAGGGTGCCCGCTGCTGGCCAGTGACATTGCCAGTCCCACTACTGCAGTCCATCCTTCCCTCCCCACCACCCCAGCCACCACTGCCAGGCTGCTGGCACCCACCCAGACTGTCCCGACCTCCTACCTTAAGGCCACCCCACCACCAGCTTCCAAAGCCAACCTGCGGTGCTGCAACCACTCCCCCAGTACCACCAGTGACCCAACAATAAGAATCTAGTGCAGCTGGTTCCTTGTACAGGGCTGGACACTGAGGAACAAGTGTCAGGGCAAAAGCGAAGTGGAAGGGGACACAGCAGAAAGGTGGCAGAGCTGCAGCAATGCTCTGTGATAGGGGAAACAAATGGTGAGGACAGGCAGAAGGCAGGATCAGAGACTTGAGGGTGAGGGACATGATATGGGGCAAAGGGGATAAACAGCTGGTGCCAGCATGTGAAATACCCTGTGAAATACCCCTCTGCCCACCACATGCCTCTGCAACAGCACTGCTGCCTGGAGACGAAGCCAGTACCCAAGGCCAGGCAGGGCCAGGGCGAACAGACCCCAGGGTGGGCAGGATGTATACTAGTGAGGCTGAGACTCCCAGTGACATCCCACTGGTGGCAGAAATTGGTTATGGATGAAGGACCAGAGCACCTGCCCCAGTGGTGCCCAGGGCAGCATCAGCCTGGGGTGATGTGGAAGCAGCCATCCTTCTGGCTCCACAGGGCCAGGCCTGGGGAGGTACCCACAACCAAGGGTCCCCAGAGTAGGTGTCCAAAGGCACCACTCACAGGCCTGTTGTGCCCCAAAGCAAGTGGGGCTGGCAGTGCTGGCACCAAGCCATGTCTTTTCCTTCATGGTCTTCATCCATGGCATGTTGAAGACCATACCCCCAGCACCACACGGTGATGCTCTGGTGAAGCTGAAGGGGGCAAAAGCCACCCCAGTGGTAGCTTGTAAGGTCCCTCCAGGCATTGCTGTACCCACTGTGTCCTCCCTGGCATGTGGCTACAGCTGCGGCAACTCCACTCCACGGGGCAAAGGGAGAGGAGAGGCCAAAACGGTTTGGTGGCTTGACCAGATGGTTGTCGCCAGAGTCTCAGCACAGAGTGTCCGTGTTGAAGGAGAGCTGAGCCTGAGCAGGGAGAGAGGCAGGGCTCAGGGGCTGCCCACTTATCCAGCATGCCCAGGACCAAAGTCTGGCACAGGCGGCAGAGCAGAGAGCCCCTACCCCTCCCAGACCCAGCCACTCTATTGTGTCACCTCTGTGATGTCACAGCACCCAGTCCCAGGGTCTGTGGCAAAGACATGGGTGGGACCAAGAACACCCAAATCTGGGGACAACCTCTCACCCTCTCCTCCTCAAAGCTGATGAGGCCTTCGTCGTCAGTCTCCAGGTCTTCCTGCTCCTCCACCATGAGGGCCCGCAGCTCAGTGGGTGCGGTGCGGGGGCGCAGCAGACTCAGCACATGCTCCAGGGGTGACTGCAGGACACTGCTGGGGCTGGTCTCCTGCTGCTCTAGGTTGTCACTTTGCTTCTTGGCAAAATTCACAAACACCTGAGGAGGAAGAGACAGGAGACTCAGGTATTTGCAAGCACCTCTACCCCATGCTTGCCAGGTTGGGACCCAGGGCATCCTGCCGTGCAGTGGCTGCCACCATGTTCCCCATCTAGCTCAAATCCCTGCCCCAAAGGCAGATCCTGCCTGGCACTTTGGCACTCCTGGATGCCGGTGGGACAAGCATCCAGCTGCCCGTGTTGTCTCTGGTCTTACATTGTCCAGTGTAGTTTGGCTGACAGAGTAGTCTTCAATACCCAGCACATCCACCACCTGTTCCATCTTGCTGAAGACCTGTGCCAGTGAGATCTGGTCCGACTTCAGCTGGTACTGGGCCTTGGTGTGATGACGCTCCTGGGGGGTGATCACCAAGGAGGCATTGAACCCTCACTCCCAGATTCCCTCCCATCACCCCATGCAGGATGAAGGCTGCTTGTGCCCTGAAGTGGGGGCTGGCAGGGGACAGCATGGCCACCATAGGCAGCTCACCTTGAGGACAGCCTCAGGGAAATTACGGTTGAAGAACCTCACCACCTCCTTGACATTGAGGCTGGACTTGGTGCGCACTGTGATCATGTAGCCATCACCGAACCTGCACAGGAACAAGGCACCGAATGAGAACCTGTCCCCTCATCTGCACCCCCATGACCCTATGGAAGGGGATGATGCTCTCAGGTAGCCACTACTGGCACTTCAGTGACCCTGTTCCCTGCCCACCTCTAAAGCAGCACCCACATAGAGGGCTGGTATGTTGTCATGGATGCCACACTGTCACCCAAGCATGGGGATCCAACCCCCTCCTGCCCAGTAGCACATACAGACTGCTGGGCGCCATGCAGGCATTCTGAGCTCCTGCCAGGCTCTTACCTGTTCTTCAGGTGCTGAATGCTGCCGAGACACTTGAGCCGCCCATTCACCATGATGGCCAAGCGGGTGCAGAGGGCCTCGCATTCCTCCATGCTGGCGTGACAAAGGAGGGTTCAGTGGAGAGCACCAGAGAACAATGCCAGGGCTATGGTGGGGGTAGGTGGAGAGCTGGGCCTCCCAGGCCATTACCCAAGTGCTGTGGCCCCACCACCAGGGTTGAGAGAAGGCAACAGAGGATGTCCCAGGATCCCCATGCTGCTCATGCCAGGGACCGGGGAGCCAAATGCTGGGGAGCCCTCTCCCTCCCACAGAGCACCCCAGGTGCTTGGAGGCATCATGGGGACAGAACCCCTCTGGACCTGTGAGATGTAAGCACCACGGAGCGACCCGTTTTGATGACATCCAGGATGAGGTTCCAGAGGAAGCGCCGTGCCTTGGGGTCCATCCCTGTGGTTGGCTCATCCTGGGAGATAGACAGCACCCTCAGACATGCCAGACCTGGGACGGACCCTGCCAGCCTTTCCTGGCCTGCGTCCAGCTCAGGCCACCATCCCACACTCCAGGAGATGCATGGTGTGTGGTGAAGGAGGGGGTGGGCACCTCCCACCCGGAGTCATTTTTCTACCCTCAGGGCGCACCAGGAAGATGAAGGCTGGGTATCCGATGAGTGCGATGGCTGTGGATAGCTTCCTCTTGTTGCCCCCGCTGTAGGTGCTGGCAGGCTTGTCTGCATACTTGGTCAACTCCAGCTTCTTCAGTGCCCACTTGACTACCTGCAAGGCGTGGGGGACTACTGTCATCCTGCCAAGGCTACGGAGCTGGCAGAGCAGGCAGGGGTTGGGCTTCCTGGCACATCAGCTGCTGAGGGGACTACTAGCCATGTGCCAGTCAGGGAAGCCCCATGTCGGCTCCTGGCACAGCCGTGAGCACTGGTGAGGACCTGTGAATGAATATGCCTGGCCCTGGCAGCCTATGTGGGCACACTGACCATACTAGGATGGCACTACCACGAGAGCAGGAGCACTGGCTCAGGCTGCCGCTGCTGTCCAGTGAGAAGCCATCCCTGTGGCACAGCACCAGCCCTTGGATGCTGCCAACTGCTTGCCCAGAGCCTTACCCGCTCCTCATCCTTCCAGGGGATGCCACGCAGGCGGGTGTAGAGCTCCAGGTGCTCCTGGGCCGTCAG